TGTGTGTGTGTGTGTGTGTGTGTGTGTGTGTGTGTGTGTGTGTGTGAGAGAGAGAAGTTGAGCAAGTGGCGGCACACAAAATGTGTTTTTGTTCATTTAGTTTTTTTGTTTTCATGTTATTTCCCAGAGGTGTTTAAAGTGACATGTTTCATTTTTGAATATCAAGGCCACAAAATGCACCTGAGTTTCAGTGATTGTTTTCAGCTTCAGATTGTAGCTTTAGTTTTTACACTTTGTTTCCTGTTATTTACAGCTGTGCGTGCTGAAGTCAACATGATCAGTCTTCTCTAATAATAGGGACCGTCCAAATCCATTCAGTCTGTATCTATAGTCACACTCCTAGTAGATTTACATCATGGAAATGGATCCTTTCTTTGTTGCCATGTGCGTGTTACTTTTTCCTCTTTTGTATTTCTATCTCTTTGTTCTGTCTTTGTATCTGGGACAAGAAGGGCTGAATATGTTTTCATGTTGTAAAGAAGCCAAAGAATTAGCAGCCAACAGCTGCAGTGTTATAATTAAACACATCTTGTTATAAATCAATACGTCTCATTTTGTCAGAGGTTAAAATAAATGTGTGGATTCCGAAAACCCACTTTCAGCAACAGAAAGGGAAAAAAAAAAGAAGTCCAGCCTGTTTCAATTCAAGGGACACATTAAGGAAATAAAGATTTTCTTTGCAAGTTTCTACATTGATTCAAGTTTAATCTCCGGTGTTCAAAAACACAATATTTATAAAAAATGTCAGAAGGAAAAGCTGTGTGTGGAAAAACAGTCCACCTTTACTGATTCCAAAGAATTTGCTCAGCCAACTGGTAAAAGCCCAACCAACTCTGCAGGCTTTACTGAATGTTTTAAGTGACAATACAGGCAGAAAAACACTTGAGGGTTGGGACGGGCAGCTTAAATAATGGAAGGGGCCACTATTATTTGTTGACACTACCAGAGGGCCACACACTGCTGCACCCAAATGTAATAAAACTGCCACCATTTATGTTTATTAAACCAATATACAATGTAACTTCACATATTTTATGTTCAAATGCATGTAGAACAGTCGCACTCTTAATAAATATGAATACAAACGTTTGAAGCAAACGAAACGCTTTAGCAAGCTGACTCCTGCTGAATGAATGAATGAAACTTTATTGATCCCATGAAGGGAAGTCACAGTTCGGAACAACCCATTAAGGAAGATACAAACAAAACACAACTTGGAGAACAGGTGCCTCGGGTCCAGCAGCCATAAAGAGGCGCTAACCTTAAAAGAAAAAAGAAATACCAACACGAGGTTAAGTGAGGACAAAATAAAAGATCATGCTATGTCCACTCGACACGGTATACCTAATAAATAGATAAATAAATGAATAAATAAATAAATAAATAAATAAACTTCACTGAGGGTGCAAAAAAAAAGAATAAATGAAATATATGGTTTTGGTTAAAGGTTACTGTATTATATGTATTTATTGTGACTGACAGAGAAGACGCACGAAGTGGTGTCTGTGTTGGAGGCGCCATCTAGCGGCAAATTTTGTCATTACAACCAATTCGGTGCCACTTTTATGCATTTTTGTTATTTTCACAAATCAGTCTAAAAGCTGCTTTGAGAGGTGTGTGTGTGTGTGTGTGTGTGTGTGTGTGTGTGTGTGTGTGTGTGTGTGTGTG